ACAAAAGACAACATGAAAGTCAGTTGAACCTAGACATAGTCATATATTCAGACTGGTCCCAGTGAAATTAATGAGACATAATTAGTTTTTCACATTTAGCATGCCCATTGATTTTAGTATGTCTGCTCTGAGTACAGGACTACATTAGATCAATCCTACTGACTGGTTAAGTCCTGTAAAATATATAAAACTGTAGAAAGGATTCCACAGTAGACTATTCAGGTCCATATCATCCACTGCTTGCTAAAATAAAATATATAGCAATACATAAGAGCATAAGAAAAGCAGTGTTGCACCAAAAATGAAGTCTAGTTTAGGACTTTGATGCCAGTCAAGTTGTCAATCTGCTCTGGATTTGAGTCCAAACTTAGAAGAAATTATCCAAGGTGGACAATCAAATGTCTCCAAGAACTCTACACATAAGGCCAACAGTACTACACATTCTTTCCTTCCAGCACTTGGTAGTCAGTGACATATTGTCTTTGAAAACAATATGTTGTCACCCACATACTTAGTTGTCATACCTAGGCTATCTCCAAGAATTAGTCAAATTGTTATATTTATAGTAACTCTGTATGGCTACTCAGAAATAAGCATTCATTTAGTGTGTAGACTATTGCAGTCTTAATTTTATCTTCTATACATGCTGGATTCATGTTATCATAATGATTTAGTTTAATGTACCTTCTGCTTCTTTGCTGTCAATTGAAAGCAACAACCTTAACAGAAAACAAGCATTTATACAGCACTTTTCCAGTATTCAATCCAATTCACAATCCTTTGTAACATTACAACACTGGACAGCATTTGTTCCCATTTCGCAAATGGCTTAAGGCACTTTGTATTTCTTTATGGTCTGGATAACATGCAACAGGGTAGCTCTTGATCTGATCAGATTCTTCTTCTGTATTGTATGACAAAGTTTTTGGCAAGTACTTACCCAGTTTTTGCAAAGTTTGTCCAGTATGTCATCACCACTGCGCTTAGCATGACATCATTTTTTGAAAAATTACAAGGAAACAATTCTGTAGGACCAATCATTGGGATTCCTAATACATAAGGAACTTCATCCCCATGAGCAGCATCTGCCCATGCTGGTACCTGATCTGTTTGGCAATGATGGTAAAAGGCATAAAAATATGTGGGTGATCCAAAATTTGAATGAAGATCAGCTGTAGCCACTGCTGGTGCAACCCACTGATGGTCAGTAAACAAAGCCAAGAGTGTTTTCCTTCTTGTCTCAGGATTATGTCGATCTGCCCAGTCAGTATACATAAATTTAATAGTTTCTCTCAATATATCTTTGCCTTCTGGGTATCCATATAAGTTATCAACAAAGTTTGAAACTGCAAAATCAAAGTCACTTGCAGATATGCCATCTTCACTGTCAACAATGTTTTCAACAAATTTCAACCCTTCTCCTTGGTTAACACCCAACATTATATCGTAGTTGAGGAACTCTCCTTGCTCCATCAAAATCTGAGGATCATCTGGAATCACATCCCCATCAATGACTGGACCAAAGGCTATGTGGTATCGGGCTGGCTGGATATCCTGATCGACAAGTTCTCTGTACGGCTTCTTCTGCAGACATTCTACTAATTCTACAGTATCCGACACATTACATCCAACTTTTGTTGCAAGCATCCTTGCATATTTTGCAGGCTGGAAACTGACTGCCCAGCTGGAGAGAGCTGTTCCACTTTGAGCTATTGCCCTTTGAAAGAGACCTGTGTAGGAAAGTGAAGGACAAGGTTAGAAAAGTGACACCAAAGAAATAGCTTTAAAAAGAATATGGATTCTCTAGGCCTGGGATACCATTATATGGATACGTGCTTAAAATTTCAACTTACTTAGGGAAGTCCTTTATCGGTACAATGTAGTTACAGGTCAAGGGACTTAGTGGTTGGTATATGTGCAGTGAAAGCATAAAAAATAGAGTTATATATAATACAAATATAATATATATATGATTTATTATAGATTAATAAGGACACTATGCAAAGTGGAAACCTATCTGAAATATATACACACCAGATGAAGCATTGTTCTTCAGACAGTCAATGGGGAATATATATGTGTGTGTTAAAAAAAAAGATGGGGTGAAGTCAGGTGCAGACTTCTGCCCTAGATTCAGTCACTGACTGGAAGGACTGGGAAGGATTAGTGCCATTTCTTTATTCCTGACTTGGATGTCATAGTGTTTGCAAGAAGAGCATATTTTAACCTAAATCAAATTGCAAAGGGATCTTGTAGCACCTTTGAGACTAACTGTGCAAAAGAAGATGTAGCAAAAGCATTTGTAGACTTGGTCTACTTCCTCAGATGCATGAAGAAATAGACCAAGTCTATGAAAGCTTATGCTACAACTTCTTTCACATAGTTAGTCTCAAGGATGCTACAAGATTCCTTTGCATACTGATATTTCAGACTCCACAGTTATGTTTCTGAATCCTGAATCAAATTGTTAAACTATATACATTAAAAGTTATGGGAAATGTTTTAGAACCTGTTGAGTTACTATCTGCTCATTTGCTTAATTATGAATCATGTGATTTCATTTTGTAAAAAATAAAGACCCTCAATTGACATTCTTTTCTCGCATTTCTCAAGGTTTGACTAGTCACTAGGGGGTAAAGCAGATGGTGCAAAAGGTCTGTGCCAGAATGGTGCCACAGCTGTTTGCCCCAGGACCACAGCAGCCACATGTGCCTGGCCTCGATCCAGGCTGTCACAGTAGTCTTGAACCAGGAGACAAAAGGGATTTGAATTTCACTGCTCCTTTTTGGGCTGGTTCTTCAGGAAAGACTTACACCCTGGGCAGCTTCTGAATGCCATACCCTCAACATGGCCCAATGATGGCCCTTTTGGGCTGCCTGTTTGAAGCCTAAGATTCCGAACTGACTGAATAAGCACAATTCCTAACCCTCAGAATATGGATTCTCTAGGCCTGGGACCCAGTCACACTACACAAATGCAGCACAATTGCTCCACTTTCACTTACCATGGTTCTATCCTATTGAATCCTGGAGTTTGTAGTTTGGTTTGGTGAGGTATTGGAGCCCTCTGGCTGAAGATTCTAATAGGAAGGAACCATGGCACTTAGTTGAACAATTATGCTATAATTGTGTAATCTGAATGGGCTCCATTCAAGTATTTCAGAGAAAATGTTTAACCTAGTGTCATGCATCTTTCTGCTTCAATGTAGGTTGAAAGTAATTATTAATTATGATAGCTGGAGCACATTTATTTGAACATGAGTACTTGATTTTAATTATCTACTCTTTCAATGATCAGATCTGATCAATCAGTGATTATGTTTTTACTGCTAAAAGGTAACAGTTAAGGTCTACAGAGATCAACTCACTTTCTGGAGAGAAATACAGACAATATGATCAATTCTTCTGGCAAGTTTCAAACTTTTCCAGCATAGAACAAATAATCAGAATTATTAAATGGTGTCCCAAGTTCAACCTTTAAATGATTCTGTGAAACTTGATTGCTTAACAACTATGATTTGACATTAATAGGGAGGTGACTATTCCACTTCCACTCTTTCTTCTTGATAGGGACATCTATAGGGAATGAGGATACAATGGTTCCTATAAACTGCTGAATTGCCTGCTCTATCCTCAACATAACCCTAGAACTTTTCTCAAGTTCCTGACCACTGTCAAGATATTGCTGATGTTAAATCTGTACCTATAGAGCATTCAGGTGGCATAGTGAGGGATTCTGCTAGAAAGTAGATGCTGTCTTGACTTTTGAGGCTTATTTCAATTGGAAGATAAACACTTCCACATCACCTTATAGTCCATTTGAGTTCAATTGTTTTGCTGCAGTTAAACCCCAGTTACTTCTGCTTAACTAGTTTATGGTTAAGCCTGCCTTTACTGAAAGTGCTGATATCAACAGCAAAAGTTGTTAAATGCTCCATTAAAAGCTGGATTGAGTTAAACTGGTCAAAGTCCTCAACCCATAAAGTTCAATTCAGCTCCTTTAAAGAAGAAAATCCTCTTTCTATTGAATGCTGATAATGAAAAATGGATGAAAGGAGTGAAAGAAGAGCTTGTAAAGTTGCTGTTTAATGTAATTAATCAAGTTATTGGTCCAAAGCCCAAAGGTAGTTAGCTACTACTAGACTTATGATTTTGAAGTTGAATTTCATTGTTTCCTGTTTCTCTTCTCAAATAGTTACTTTTAGATAGCATTGTTAACTAATGAAGTTGGCCCAAGACTGTTTAAGCCAACACATAGATAACTTCATTACAGTCACAGAACTGCCTCTACAGCTACAAAATAAACAATTACAAAATTACAAGTCCTGAGGAATTTCAAGGACTGATGTGCATATAGTATTAGAAAGATAAGCTGAGCCAACATTAAACCAGTGCAAGCTGTTTTGAACCAAAATCCCTGTTAGCCTAAATGATGTGTCTGCTCTCAATGCAGATTTTAAACTATTTTAAGGACTTGTTTTAGTCTGTTTTAAAACACTTTTATTTCTGGATTTTTTTAAAAAAATCTGTCAAACATTGCCTTGGGGGTCCTGTGGGTCAACAGGCAATAGATACATGGTTTTAATAAATAAAATATTGTTGTCATATTCTGTCAAGTCAGATTTGACCCATGGCAAACCTGGGGACCTTTTAAGAGCTCCTGTTATTATCAGTCCTGCTCAGGTTTTGCAAACTTAGGGTCATGGCTTCTTTGACTGATTCAATTTCCTTATGCTGTGTTCTTCCTCTTTTCCCATAGCCCTTTATGTTACCAGATATTATCATCTTTTCATGTCTTCTCTTGATATATTTACAGTAAATAATCTCCATTTAGTCATTTTGTTGTTGAACTCTAACTCCCAGCCAGCATGGCCATTGAACAGGGAATCTAGAGGTGAAATCTAACATTTGAAGCTTCACAGAGTGATAGAACTTCTCAAATGGGAGATGAAGTGCATTGCATTGCTTCCTGAATTCACATATTATAGTGGTAAACCAAGAGCTAGTGTGGCATAGTGGTTTAAGTATTGGACTACAATTCTGAAGATCAGGGTTTGATTCCCCACTCAGCTACAAAAACCCACTGGGTGACCTTAGGCAAGTCAAAAACTCTCAGCCCCAGACAACTTGTGATAGGTTCATTTTAGGGTTGCCGTAATTCAGAAACAACTTGAAGGCACATAACAACAGAAAAACCACGAAAAGTCACACAAGACTATGCAACAGTCCCTATACATTTTGAGTGTGAAGTTTGTTCACACATGTTGTATGTGTAAATGAAGCATCACTGTGAGTGTAAATAAACCATCATAACACAGAGAGAGGCATAGCTTATATAGCAAGTCATATCTCAGGATGTTCAAAGTTGTGTGAAGTTAGTAATGGGTTGGGCTTACTGTGGCTAGACTGAACTTCCACATTTTGAAAGTTTGCTCTATCAGTTGAAAGAGGAAAAAGTATATTCATAAATGTAAGAGAATTATATCAACAACAAATTGGACCAGAAGCCACCACAAGCACCTCCTCCCCCCCAATTTCCAATTCTAGGGAGGGGGATGCTAGGGGTGTAGGAGGAAAGATAAATGTCAGAAGAATAATCTCACCATAAGTGGCAGCATCTGTCCCCAATAATTCCCCTCTCCATAATCCATTAATAAAGTATTTAGAATTTTTAAAAAGTAAGGAAAGAAACATGAGAATGTCTACTCGAATGAAACTGAGGGGGGTTGCAGACTGCCAGAAATAGTGCAAATTGAG